CTCACCCCCTGAGGCATTGGCAGAGCTGGACTCAAGTCAGTGATTTGCCCTGTGCTAAAAGAGAGGAGGATGAGACAATGAAGTGCACTGGGGAAGCCAAAGGCTCCTGGCTTTCACCCTTCTCTTCCCAGTACTCGCTACAGGCCTTTCTTCCCTAAAGCCTGCTCTTACCTAGGACAAGCTGAGCAAGTCACAGAGTTGCTGGTTGTATCCCAGCTTCCCAAAGGATTTCTCTCTCCCGGCGGCAGCAGCACCAACGCTCCACAGGAAGCCCTGACCGAGGCTGGGAATGGACACATGACAAGCCAAAAGGATGAACTCAGCACCAAAACACTCAACAAGAAACCAATTTAGAGTCGCCTTTGCCTCATCCCCCTAGGCAGGCAGAGGCTTTGGGATTCCAAGGCAGAGCCAGAGACCCCCAGAGAGCAGCAGCCCCTCAACCCCACCAGGGCCTCCCCTGGGCTCAGGCAGCAGGCAAGCACTGCCCAGCCTCTGCTGTGCAGCACAGCACACAGGGGGTGACCTCTGGGATCCCTCCCTGGCCACTGCAGAGCATGCAGGCAGCAGGGCCAAGTCCTGCCCAGCCCCCAGGCACCGCAGACACTGCAGCCCCAGCAGCAGGGGCATTTGCTGCCTCTGGCTCCCCTCTCATTTGCAGCTGAACGGTGAGGAACAAGCCCTGAGCAGACAGTGCGGGACCAGAACTGGCACAATCAACAACCAAGCAGACGGCCCTGGGCTTGCCAGAGGCCTGGGCCTTCCTGGGCCAGGCTCTGGGCTGCCTTGGCTTTCTTCTGCTGCAATTATCCTGCCCTGGCAAGTGTTAAAACACAGACTGCCCAGTGAGACATGCCCTGAAATAGCAATCAATTCCACCTCCAGAAAATCTCAGGGCCACACTTAGAAACCCTTCAGCAAGGGCCCCGGAAAAGCCAAGGTGAGCTGTGATTACCTGCAGGGCCAGGGAACTCAGGGCAAGGCGGGGACTGAGCAGAGAGCAAACGCCTCCAGCCCCCACAGCAAGTGCAGTGAAGCACACCAGTGGAGAGGTTGTAGGAGAGCTTTAAAAGAAATTAAAAAACAATCAGTTGTCAGAAAAATCCTTCTGCACTCTGCACTGTATAACGACTCCAATTGCTCACTAAGGCAATCACCTAATTTAGAACAACTGAATCTTAGAACCCCACAGCTTATCAAATGTATTCACTGCTGCCAGTATCAGACCACCTCTCTCCAACGTTTCTGAAAACCTCCTGAATCTTTCCTGTGGTAAGACCCACCCTTTTCATTTGATCAAGAGAAACAAAACCAAACCAAAGAAACCTCACCACCTGACACAGGGCACAAGCTACCAAAGAGACTCCAAGCCACGGGAGGAGAGCTAAGGAACAGGTGAAGTTTCAAGGAAACCTCACATGTTCCAGCATCCTGCTCGTGTTGCCCGCGCTGCTCCCTGGATATGACCCGCTTCCGGCCATCTGCCCAGCAGCAGACACCACCGCTGCCTTCTCCAACAGCAGCACCTCAGCCACGAGCCACCACACTGTTCCCAGAAGCACAGCTGTCCAGTTCCGTGCCCATCCATGGCAGATGTGGCAGCTGAGCCGTGCCCACTGCCTGCTGCCTGTCAGACAGGACCCTTTTCTCCAGAAACAGCGGCTCAGTTGTCAGCACTGCCATTTGCCAGACACATCCTTACTCCCAGCAGTCAGTTCTCACTTGAACACTTCACCAAGTCTGGGTGAGGACTTGCAGGGCCTGAAGGTTCACGCCGTGGTGTGGCACTCACGTTGTGTCCGTGGCAACCATTCTGCCACTCCAGAATGTGTTCTCCTAGGAAACACACCCATTTCACAGGTTACACATCTGACCAAAATGCAGCAAGTGCTCTCCAATCTCACCAACAGCCTTCTTGCTGTCACTGCATCCTTACCCTGAGAAGGCAGGGGGAAGTCCACAGCTGTTGGAGCAGTTCCTGGGAATGCAATAAAACTCCCTTTCTTTGGACTGCACAAGGGCACGTGCTGAGGGCACCACACAGCTCCTGCCCAAATCCTGTCCTGTCCCCAGCGATGCCAGGAGCAGCCTTGGAAAATACACATGCCTGGGTTGCAGCTCCCAAGGGATGCCGCAGGGATTCACAGACAGGGGAGCACTTCCCTGTGGGGGCCGCCAGCCCCTCCAACTCTACCCGTCAGAGAACATCCAGAACAACATTTCACTTAGTGAAAACTGGTAAAATGACAGAGCACACGGTCTCAGTCTGGCAGCACGTGTCACCAATGATGAAAAATCAGGAGCAACAGTAACTCTTTTGACTGAGCCAATACACCAATTAATACTGCATATACAAAGCCCGTAGAAGTCAGGGGACACATTTCTGGTTTGGCTCCAGGGAACTACTCATTTCATGTGACAATATGCAGAGCCTGGCAACACACAGATTTCAGTTCCTTGCCACTCAAGTTCAACTCCTTTGTTATAGGACTTAAAATGTTCCTTTTCTAAAGGTGTCCTGTTGGGCTGATGGTACAGTCACAAGATCTTGCTTTTTAAAGCAAGCTGTGGATTTCACCAGACTTCCAATCTGTCAGTGAGTGAAATCCACTCCTACACAGAGGGCCAGGACAAAGACTCTCCCATTCCTGAGTCCCATTCAGGGTGTCTATAAAATGAGTGAACTCTGGTCATCCTACAAAGGAAAGAAGTTTCAGTACTAAGAAAGAAGATGCCAACACCATGCAAAACACAGTTCAGGTTTTCCACTGACAGCAGTCTGACTTCACAGTTTCTTTCAGCATCAGGTAGTGGTTTCACCGTAAAATGAAATTGTTGTTTTTTCACACTGATCATATCAGTAAATGTTTGATTTTGCTTATTGTTTTACCAGTGCACTTTGTTGATGTTACCTTTTAAGTTAAACAGGCTAAAGGAAGAATTCAGGGACATAAAATCTGAATGGGAGACACTACTGAGAATTTGAAGGTAGCATCTCTGACAGGTGTGGTTTTGAGGGGAGAGAAGATGCTGTTAGCCATGAGACACAGCCAAAGAATTGCTAGACCAAACTAAACCCAGGGGAAATTCCACTTATATCAGCCATATTCTAGTAGGGAAAGTCAGAAATTAAGAGACCTGCCACTGAGAGACTGCCTTTTTTCCCCTCTACAGCATATCTTATAATGCCACATCCAGTTGGAAGTATGCAGGTTTAAAGCACACAGTGCTAAGTCTCTTTAAATGTCATCCCAAACACATTTTCTAGGACTTTTTCACATGAGAAAGAACAGCCTGTGTATTTTTCACATGAGAAAGAACCACTTGTACGTCTGGGTGCGTACTCACCCCGTAATTTCTGAGAATGGAAGCGAGGAATTATTCTTGCTGGAGTTGAGCCGTGTCCTCCAGGGCATTCCTGCAGTGCTGGGGCTGGATGGTGGGGTTGGGTTGGGTTGGGTGGGCCTGCTGGGCTCTCCTTTGGTGTATAACAGGTGTCCCCTTGGGGGTAGCGAAGGGGTGAGCGGTGACCTGTATGATGGGGATAGATTGGGTGCTTGGGTCAGTACTAGAAGGGAGCAATCTAACAGGAGACATAGGGTTGGTCTGTGCTTTAAGAACAGCCAGCTGTGGGTTAAAGCCGGCAGCAGGCGAGCGGCCCTAAGTGTTCTGCACAGGGTTCTTCTGGGAAGAGGGGACGTTGGCATTGCTGGGAGGGACTGGGTTGCATTTCGTAGACTGGAGTGGTTTCTCAGCCAATTTGCTCTTGGATGGCAAAGTCTGCGTCTTTGGGTTGGGCTGAAGTGCTGCCTTTGGCTGGAATACGTGTCCAGGCCTGGAGGCGTTCCTACAAACATCAGGGTCCAAGGCGACTTGGGGTCAGGGAGAGAAAGGGAGGTCCGAGGTCTGAGGGGGAACGAAGAACTTTCTGACAGGCTATGAGACAGACGTGGAGTGTCCGTGCACATCCAAACCAGGGAAACACGCACAGAGCGGGCGAGCAGGGGAAGGAAAGCCAGAAGAAAATCCATTCGAGTCACAAAGATGCACCACGTCACAAGGAGACACAGGAGATGGAGGTGAAGGGGTACGGGGGAGGGATTTTGCCAAGAAACAACACCAAACAAACAAGAAACAAAAGAGATGCAGTTAGCTGGGAACACAGCATAACCAACAACAGCAGCAGGGCAGCAGCAAGAACAACAGTGTCAGAACAGGCTTTGTCATATTAACCAACCACACGTCAGCAAAGGAAAACAACAGAAAGAAAAGTACAGTAGAGGAACAGTAAAATAAAACAAATGAAAAAATCAAAAAGAAAGTAACTAAGAAAAAAGAAGAGAGAAATGCCATCTCTCTGGGATTGCTCTGACTGCCCTGCAGTATGAAAAGCACAATGCTGTAGGGAGGTGAGGAAGGGGAAGAACCACCATCCAAGCCACAGACAAACTGAGATGTGCCAAGAATGGGACCGCTTCTTTCAACTCCAGGTGCCCATGTGCAAACCCAGTAGAGAGATGAAACTCAGAACAGGTGTGTGATACGTACGGAGTGACAGGTGATACACAGTTACTGCACACACCTGTTACAACCTCTTTCCTTCCTCTTTACCCCTGATTGGCTAATGCACACCCAAGTTGCAGCCACCCATTGCAGAAAGAGAGAAGAGTTCTCTACGGTGACCGACTTGAAGGCAGCTGTGAAATGGTTCCTGATTATTTGGTCTGAAGCCACACTGTATGCAGACCTCAGCTGGATAGGGCAATGTTTAGTCAGAGCAATGTTATTCCATGTCCTTTTGAGACTGAAAAAGGGCAAGGGCACAGTGAGATCCCTGCTAACAGTGCAAGGAACACATGTGAGGAATTCTCTGCTTGCATTTGTAAATAACATTTCCCTCACCACCCATGAAAATTTACAAGCTGCCAAGGAAAAACAGAACATATCCCAGCTAAGAGCCACGGCTCTGGAGCAACGGACATGGAAAGCATCAGCATGTGAGTGAACTGCACCAACAGATCTTGAAGCAGCACCACTTACCCTCAGACTGCTGAGAGGACTGGTGGAGAGCCCAGAGGATGCTCTGCTGATCGACTGAGACCTGAATGGACACGATAATGAAAACATCTGTCAGAAAGCTCGCACAAGGATAAACCCCGATCGACAGCCATCACAGGCACAGGCATGAAGGGAGGAGGAGGAGGGAGGCTGCCACTGGAAGAGCATGTGACTCTTTCCTTTTCTTTCCTTTCACTACTGTCACATTTTTCAGTTGTTCCCCCCTCAAATCAAAGAAATGCTGTTGCTCAGGGAGAATACTATTAACCTCTTTTGATTAAGGCAGTTGCTACTTTAGTTTTGGTTATCAAGCACATGAAAGCTACTACACCTGACCTGTGCAAGTTGATCTGCTGAACTCAATAGGATGGCGAAGACATTCATACTGGAGCCGAGAATTCTGTTTTGCACAGACCTGGTGATCACAGAATGAGACTTTCTTAGTCACAAGCAACATGGGAAAGTACCCTGTTCACAAGACACAAAGGTAGGGGATTATTCCAGACAAGAATTAAAAAAACAAGTCTCCTTGACCCAAGCACACAATCATTTCCTATGTGATGACTTCCCACTGAAATCAAAGATCAGTTTTCCAGTTTCTCACTGATGGTTTTCACATCTGTGCTCTCCAGCAAGATTTCTTGCTGCTGCATTAAACAAGCCAGGCCTATCAGTGGATAAACTAGCTCTGCTTTTGTTGATGACTTCACTAATACCAAAATAACAGCTCAAGTGCCCTCAAAAAGAGGCCAGTCAAGAAACAGTAAACTGTCCTATTTGCTGACAAGGGCACCTATACTGGAATGCTCTTATGCTCTCCAGCAAAGGCCACCAACGAAAAATGTCAGCTACTGACAATAAAACGTGCAAATGTGCTATGCTAGATGTGGTGAAAGAGCAGACAGGCCAAAGTGCACAAACATTTCAGCAGAAGTTTCTAGGAGGAGGGCTGCCCAGCAGAAATAAACCCACACCCTGCGTGACTATATGAGTGAGCCCCAGAAGCAGTTGCTCTGTGCTTTTAAAACACAAAGTTGAAGACTGAAAGGTCTTATAGGAAGGGACTGGGTTAAGAATCTCGTTGTCCGACAACTACCATACAGCAGTATGTCAACAGAGCAAAACTACCAACGTTTCCCGTAGAGGAAGAGTCATAAAAGCAATTACTTGCCTTCAGGCAGCAAACATGAAAAGGTGAAATTCCTGCATAGGCTTGGAAAATGGAGAGCACGGGTATATGTGTACACATACGTGTCAATGTGTGAGTGAGTGTACACATATATATATTAAACATTGATATAGGTCAGAGAGTTGATGTCAGCTTATACCTAAAACAAATTTAGAACATGAACTGTGTCAGTTCACTTTCTTCTGCTGTAGAATAGAACAAAAAAAGCAGTTTCTCAAGTGGTCTCCTGCCGTATATTGCTAAAAACATTTGAGCAGTGGAATTCTTAAGAAAATCTTAAAAAACCTGCAAAAGAGGAAATATTTCCAAGGAAAGAATAATGTCCAACTGAACACAACGGCAGGTTCTGTTTCCTCTATTTGTATCCTCTGCAGAAGCTCCTCACTGATGGTTTTCTTTGTATCTCACTGCAGTTTGTCCATCACGATAAGCAGGTGAAAGATGCTCCCACCAACCCTTAATTGGGATGGGAAAGTCCTCTCTGACACTCACCTGAATTCCAGGATACTCGATTAAAAGTTCCAATCTGCTATTTCCTTTTTTGCAATCAGGTGTTTCCTATTGAATAATGTTTTTAGGCTTCTTCTCAGTTTCAAGTACAACGATCAGAACAGAACAGATTTTTCCTCAGCAACATAAGAAGAGCAGGATACTTCAGTTAACTCTTTTTAGGTCTTGCTGTTTCAAATCCTTGTCCACATTCAATTTTGGCAGTCGGACTGAAAACATGACTGCAGGACTCCTACAAGTAAAAAGAGCCCTTTCTCCCAAGAAAGTACTTACCCTCGGGGTCTCAGGTGCAGTTGGTGGGCCAGCCTGGGCTCTCAGTAGGCACCAAGAGCTTTCTGTCCTGGCACCTTTTGTCTGGGAGAAATCTTCATCCATATTCAATTTTGGCAGTTGGAATGATAATTTCAGCACCAGACTCCTGCAAGCAAACAAAAGCCCTTTCTCCTAAGGAAGAAATTGCTTACCCTCGGGGTCTCAGGCTGGATTACCTGCAACTTTTATGATACTGTTATTTTGCCACACAGCTGCACAACTCAATAACTGAGCTAAACAAGAATTTTGCAGACCAACTGTAAAACAAACAAACAAAAAAAAACAAGAGATGCATATCCCCCCCCCCCCCCAGGGCTGACGGTTAGAAGGTTGCCTACCACCTGTAAAAAAAATCAAAAAATACAAAAATTAGACAGCTTGTGCCTTGGTCCACCAAGGATACAAGACCTAGAAGAAACATGTCATGCTCCCCTTGCTCATCTCCCCTCTGGTGCAGACAGCTCACGCCACCCTGGACTCGCCATCTTCACCCTCAAAAACAAAAAGTCAAACTATAAAGTTTGACGTCGTCCCTGCCACGCCGAGTGACGGCCCACCCTCTTGCTCTGCTGCTCCAGCTTTCTCCGGTGCTGCTGGACACCCTGTCCGCTGGCCTCTGCACAAAAACAGCACTCATCAGCTCACCCAGACGCTCAGTGACAGCTTCACCTTCTCACAGTTCTCAGGGCCATTCAGGAAATCGAGAGGGCAACTACAGCCTGCAGTAAGACACAGAAAACAGCCACCAAAATCCATGGCCCCGCTAGGCAGCTCCCACCATCTCCACAAAACCCTGTTCTCAGCACTGCACTCAGAAGGACCATGGCTGCTCCATCCACAATAACTACACAGCCATCGCCTCTGCCGCCTAAGCGGACCCACCTGCACTCTTAGGGCTACTCCACCTACCCCCACCTCACCCCCGGCCTACACATCAGGGCAGAGCAGCTCCGGGACAAACACACACACACACCAGACACAGAACACTACAAACATGCGGCGCAATGATGAGAGAAAGCTCTCAGCAAGAAGCAGAACTCCAAGAACCGAGATGCTGTCGAGCAAGATGACCTACACAACTGGGTCACCGAGCTGAGAAATCCCTGCGGCAACCTCTGGAAAGACTCGAAGAGAACGACCTTCGACCAGAAGGGCCTGTCCAAACCGCAAAGAGGGATGAGCAAGAACGCTACATTCGGGATGTGAGACTGGGAGGATGCGAAGAACAAGTCCCCCTCCTTTACAGTGGGCGGCTGGAGAGCACGGCTGACGACACAGCCTGAAATGGGGCCAGAGAAGACACCCGACTGTAAAATTCCAAGATGCGATTCCGATGCGAGATTGCAAGTCAGGGAACAGACGATATCGGCACCGTGCCGAGGCTACCTCAGAGGTTCCTGCAGATGCTGACTTATTCTCCTTGTCAGCTACAAGAAACAAAACCACAATCACTTCAGGAGCTTTGCAGCAGCTCAGCCAAACCCGTACAATTCCCATACACTCTCCCAGCTGCACTGAGGCCCTCGGCTTGCCGGCTCCAGACGGAATCCTGCCACCTCTGCCGATGCCGGAGGCTGCAACTGGCATCGCATGGGATACCTGGGTGAGGGACGGACCAAGTTACGTGGCATTTTGGAAAGCTCAGTGAACCCCTGCTCCTGCCACCGCCCTGACTCACCTCGAATTCTCCTCTCTTTCCAAAGGTGACCTGGGCAGCACCTGCTCCATTGTTGAGCCCTGTAATACTTTGGGATTACTCACAAGGCCAGCCCGAGACCACCCAACCTTGTCGCAAAGTACTAGGTATGTTTGTAGCTCACCAGAAAAGCAGCATCTACTTCTGTGCACGTTCATCTTGCTCACCAGTGTTCACCTGGCTCTTCTCCACACTTGTGCTGATGGCCTCTTTCACCCATTTGTACAGAAAGGGTCAGGACAGAAAAGTCTTGCTGTCCTGTACCTCCCCTTGCTCCCAGGGCAGTCTGTCATCCACACCTTCAATCATGGGGCTACATGCTTTCCTTTCTATGGAAAAGACTATCTGAGCTATTACACTCAAAATATACACTCTGTCCCCTGAAGTTTACCTCTGATTTTAGGCCCAAAATATTAATTCCATCCCTAGGTTACCTAGATTTTACCACAAAAAAAACCAGCCCTGATTATCTCCTCTGCAAAATGCTGTTCTCAAACCTCTGCTGAGGTTTGTGAGGTCTTCAGCTGAGAGGAGGGAAAAGTATTTTGCATCTCCGTTGGTACACGTGTCGATAGAGGCCAACAGAGCTTTTGCCTTTTTCAGACAATCGCACAATATTTTGACTCCCTGGCAGCTTGAAAGTCACAGATCTCCTTTCCTACATCTGTGCAGATGCCACACACGGGTACCTATCCACGTTTTCTCAAGCCTACACAGAACCGAGATTTCCTCACCCTGCACATCCCAAGGTGAGTGTTCTGGTTAGTGAGTACAGCAAGTCCCCTCTCCTTGTAAACAAGGGACCATTTTCCCTGGCCATTCCTCTAAGGGTTACCCTAAGGATGGGCACCCCCACCTCGCCATTCCGACAGAGCCGTCCAGCACCCCCAACCCACCCATCGGATCTGAATAGAGCGGCACAGCCACGGCAATGCCAAGAGTGGGAACGGCAGCCCTGCTGATGGGATTCCTGCAGCAGGAGACACACACAGAGGGACACCTTTGGCCTCGTACAGCCGATACTGAATTTCCTCCAAATCTGTTCCCCGAGACCATCCTCTCACAACACTGTGCCAAACGGCATGGGGCAATAAAACTGTGATGCGTTCAAAACAGCCAAGTTCTTCGATTCTTGCTATTTGCTTCCCCTTACTATTGTTAGTCCTTCAGAAATTCTGCTCGTAGCCCAGTTATCACCACTGCCTCCAGCATTTCTCTCCTTGGTATTACCAGTGCATTTACACAGGCTAGGAACTGAACAGCTCTTCTAAAGTTATCCAGGTGCCAATTACAGCCACAAAAGAAAAGCAAAAGGAAAAGAGGGCTCAGGCAGCCAGAGAGCTCTGCAGGTGGCACCGGGCAACATCACACTTGCTAAAACACATCCTTTTGCATAGAGGAGAGACAGGTCTATATTATGGCAAGTTGTGCCCTCCCCCCAGTGCTGACAATAATCACACGCAGCACCAAGTAAGGCTCAAAGATAAACTGGGGGGGGGGGGAAAAATGGCAAAAGCACACACATGAGGACATTCTCTTGCTTCCAAGGCAAGATCAATCATCCCTAGAGGAAAAGGGAAAGGGGCAAGGGTTTATCAAGCAATGCACAACTTAGCAAGTCAGTTTAATGAGTATCAGCAGGGTTTGTGCACAGAGAAAACAAAACTCAGTGGGTTTAGTAGTTAAAAACTCAGTGTAAACTACTGTCTGGTTACAGCAGTAAGCTTCCCACAGCAGTTTCAGATGCCCTCCTTTATAGTCCAGCCCCAAAGCAGAAACTCCTCTCGACTGCTCCTGAGACAGGCAATTAATTGGAACTTTTGGTGACCGGGAAAGCTGGTCCCTCCCCTAAGTCCTGGCTCACCTGCCCGAGCACCTAGCGTGCTTATATTCCACCTCGCTCCCTGCTTTACATGTTCATATCAAGAAAAGAAACCTCCAAGCTCTTCCTCCAGTCCGAGCTGTATCTTCCCTGCACCCCCACGCTCCCCCACCCGTTCACGTGCGCTGCTCCCCGGCACACGGCTCATCCTTGAGCGATGATCCACGTACCTCACGTGCTTGGCCCGGCCCGGGCGAGACGCCCTCACGGTCACTGCTGGAGAGACTCCACGGAATGGACTGCTCCTCTGCAGAAAATGCCCACCGAAAAAAGTACTCTCTCCAAAAGCCCCAGGTAACCACCGAGCAGAGCCCGCCCCTCGTCATCCTCACTGCCCACTCGTGGAGCTGTCCCGCCCCTCGTCATCCTCACTGCCCACTCGTGGAGCTGTCCCGCCCCTCGTCATCCTCACTGCCCACTCGTGGGGCTGTCCGCCCCTTTGTCACCTCACTGCTCACTCGTGGGGTTGTCTGCCCCTTTGTCACCTCACTGCCCACTCGTGGGCTGTCCGCCCCTTTGCCACCTCACTGCCCACTCGTGGGGCTGTCTCACATGGGAGGGGACAGAAGGGCAGGAGGAACCAGAGACGAGCGTGGGCATTGGGCTGGCGACGTGGGGGCACGGGAGAGGCGGCACGAGCAGGAGGGAGGGGCCGGCGTTATCAGCACGCGATTTATGTGAATAAACTCTCAAAGTCTGGAGAAGTCAATACTATGAACTTGTAGAAAAAACTACATGAATGGGAACACATTCCGTGGTGCAAGACAGTGGTTCGTCGCTGTTGGAATTCCACGTTTTCCCCCTTTCTTTGGCTTAACGAGCAGGCCAACCTACAGGATCACTGCAAAAGATAAAGTGGACACTAGGAGCACAACACGCTGTGCTGTCAGGGGATGCCAGACAAACCTGGAAAAAAGCTTGACTTTTTTTTTTAAGTGCCAGCTACTACTGATGTGAGCACCATCACCCACAGAAGAGCAGAAAATACACTGAAAACATACAGTTCTGAATTTCTGAACAACGTGGTTTATTGTCCAGTCTCCAGCTGCACAAAGATGCAGTCAGAGGCAGAGATACCTCGGGCTGTTACAAGCCTGATGAGGAGAACATAATGCATTTAAATCACATTCACTGCCCAAATATCCCAAGCTGACGTCAAATAGAAATGTCCTGTTGTCTGGCAGCGGAGCTGGAGTCCCTTAAGGACATCACTTCAGTGTGATTCTCATCCTTAAAGGACACTGAGGTAATTACCCATACTTATTAGAGCTTACTCTTATTTCTCCTCCTGTCTCCGTCACGGAATTTGTTTCCTTGATCTGCTTTTATTTTTCAAGTCAGGTTTCCAAAAAGCAAACCTATTTTGTTTGAAGTCTGATATTCACATAAATTTGTACAAAGAGCAAAATGGTTTTAAGTCACCCCTTTTTTGCAGGACTATCTCACTTGGTGCAATGGAAAGGGAACAAGGCTAGGGGAAAACTGGCGGATCTTTCACTAGATCTTTCACTAGAAAGAATAATATTCAAGAATACAGACAAAATTCTACTGGGGAGCAATTTTTCCCTGGGGCTAAAAATATACTTTAATGGTGGTGATAATTTCTTCCTATACCTGGGTGCCAGGAAGAGGGAAAACAGGTGGAGCTGCTCCCTGGTTTGCTGGGCAGTCTGCCCTGGCACTCAAGGCAAGAGCTTTACAAAGGAGAAGGAATTTTTTTCAAAGATAAAACTCCCAGCAGTCTCAAAGGTAACGGGAACCTTTATTTTTATTATTTTCATTGCACTGACATTGTCCTTTTATGCAAACTAAACTGTAGAACACTCTTGAGATACTGCATAGAAAATACACATTGGAAAAAACACATATATACACGTCCATAAAAATAGAATACATCTTGGCAAAATTACCTGTGTACAGTGTATTGACATTATTGAACCAAACTTACACCACCTTGGGAGAAAAATGTTCCCTGTGCGTAAAAACCCAGCCCCTTGACTGAGCTGGGAGTACTGCAATGGGTTAAATAAATGGCTATACCAGAATGGCAGAGTAAAAATCAAGTTATAAAATACCTGCTGGATAAAGTACAAGTAGCCATGTTGTTTTCTTCTTCCAAAAAATAGTGACATCTCTACACTTGCATGGAAACCAAAGGTACCAGTTCC